TTCTCTAGGTTCCCCTTTCCTCATGCACTTATTTATGCATTACATTCAAGAAGTAGGAATTATTATTATCTTCCCCGTTTACTGATGAGATTCTGAGGAACAGAGCAGTTTAATGACTTAAGTTTTTAGTTATTGAGTGCTAAAGTTGGGATTTGAATACATGAATCATATCACTATATTTTGTTACATAGTTTCATATAATACATAGCTCTTTAATGCTTCTGAAATGTATTACTTACTAATATTATGAAGAAGCATTTAAAAAATATATTTTATTGCTTTTTTACAGAGAGGAAGAGAGAGGGATAGAGAGTTATAAACATCGATGAGAGAGAATCATCGATCAGCTGCCTCTTGCACACCCCCTACTGGGGATGTGCCCGCAACCAATGTACATGCCCTTGACTGGAATCGAACCTGGAACCTTCCAGTCCGAAGGCTGATGCTCTATCCACTGAGCCAAACTGGTTTCGGCTGAAGAAGCATTTTGCTCATGAAGAATTACACAATATGTTCTATTATATAGAAGGGTGGATCCTTTCCTGAGAAACATCTATGTGAGAGAGAGAGAGAGAGAGAGACACACACACACGGATTGGTTGCCTCCCACATGTGGCTGGGGATTTAGTCTGCAACTGAGGTTGTGCTCTTGACCAGAATCGAACCTGGGACCTTTCAGTCTTTAGGCTGACACTCTATCCACTGAGCCACATTCAGGGGTCCTCAAACTTTTTAAAGTGGGGGCCAGATCACGGTCCCTCAGAGAGCTGGAGGGCCGGACTATATGAACTACTAATTCCTACTGTAACACCTCGGCTGCGCTCACTGCCCAAAAAACCTGGCGGGCCGGATCAGACTCCTCTGCGGGCCGCATGTGGCCCGCGGGCCCTAGTTTGAAGACGCCTGATAGGGTGAGACATCCATTAGTTGTTCCACTTATTTATGCATTCATTGGTTGATTCTTGTATGGGCCCTGACCGAGGATAGAACCGGCAACCTTGGCACATCAGGACGACATTCTAACCAATTGAGCATGCTGGCCAGGGCTTGTTTCTATTTTTTGAAGTTACAAATAATGCTGCAGCAAATATCTTGTATATTACAAATAATTCTTGAGCTTTTAATTTTTCTGAATTTACTGAAAAAGTCTAATCCTTCCCTAGCTTTTCAATGTTTAATATTTTTACACCTGCTTCCCAAATTCCATTTACATACATAGAAAATGTAAAAAAAAAGTTTGAAAAAAGAAGCATAATAAATATCGAACTCACACCAAAAAACGTTTGATGGCAAATTATCTTTGTGTGGGGGGATGAGTTAATGTTGTGTGTGTGTATGGGGGGGGGGGGGGCGTACCTGGATATTAGAAGGGTACAGAGAAAGAAAAGACTCCCCAGGTCTTCACTTCTTTTAAGTTTAAAGATGACTTTAAAAAAAATAAAGGTTGACTTTTAATTCTGACAGCTCTGGACAATGGAATAGAAATTATGAGCTGGATCCTTAGAGTCATTTGGATTTGTTCATTTAAGTCCTGACTTTGCTACTTATTAATCATGAGAACTTAGACATAGTCAATATCTGTTAGTCATAGTGTTCTCATCTGTAAAATAGGTATAGTTACAGATTATGGGACTTCTAGAAGAATTAAATGTGATAACATATGCAGAGTGCTAAGCTCAATGCATGGCACATTGTAAATATAATGTAATTTTATATATGTACTACCGTAGTAGCACAGTGCATGGATTTGGGCACATTGAAAGGAAATCTATTAGAAGAAATATTTTAATATCACTGTTCGCCCTTTCTCTATAATAGAAGTGTCAACCAAATTCATAGTCAACAATGACATATTGAGACACATGCGTGCAATTGGTAGCAGTGAGAGCTTTATATGTTTCAGGCATGCATGAGTCAACTTAGCCTTTTATATATGTAGAATAAATTAGATCTTGCTTAATTAGACCTGCTTTCTGATTTAGCTAAACTTTTTCCAGCTCATATTAAATATTATGAAGCACCCCAACTTCTCTTTCAGGTAATTGTTAGCAACACAGCTGTAAATATCAACATGAAGCAGATTATTGTAGATCACACAGAAGAACAAAGGGTAAAATATTTAACTGCAGCAGTGTTTAACTATATTCTGTGCAGTAAGAAAACCTGAAATCATTTTCAAGGTCCACCATTTCTTACATCTTTTCAGCCAGGTCAAGTTTCTAGGCTTTCTAAATCTCTGTTTTCTGGTTAATGAAAATAAAATAGGATTCCTCTGACTCTCCTATTTACCTACTCCAGGACTTCTGTGAAGATCAAATGAGATGAGGCACCAGAAAACGCTTCACAGACATTTGGTTAAAGTGTCAAATGTTTCCACCTGGCTATAAAGCAAGTCATGTTCCTGGGCTGAAGAAACTCCAAGGAGGCTAGTCGCTGGGGAGAGGAAGCTAGGTGTTGCTATGTGACATCATTACCCTGCACCCACAGCCACATTTCCAGGCCGGGCTGGGCTGTGGACCTCATTTTGTGCCATCGCAGCATTGGTTGTGATTTGGTGGGGTGTTGCTCCGGGGTGGTGGCAGGGCCTGTGTCCCACTTGGGGTAATCCAAGTGTTGCTTTGTCAGTGCCAGGTCTGTGCTGCTGTTTCTCTGTAAATGGCCAGTGTGCATCATGGCAGCTCCTGCATTGAGAGTCTGTCCCCTGGTGGTCAGTGTGCATCATAGCAACTGATCAGACGGTGGAGGGACACTGAGCATATTAGCCTTTTATGTATATAGATAGTTTATTTTTAATATATATATTTTATTGACTTTTTACAGAGAGGAAGGGAGAGAGAGAGCTAGAAACGTCGATGAGAGAGAAACATGACCAGCTGCCTCTTGCACACCCACTACTGAGTATGTGCCCGCAACCAACGTACATGCCCTTGACCGGAATCGAACCTGGGACCTTTCAGTCCGCAGACTGACGCTCTACCGCTGAGCCAAACCGGTTTCGGCAGATAGTTTATTTTTAAATATATATATTTTATTGATTTTAGTGAGGAAGGGAGGAGAAAGAGATAGAAACATCAATGATGAGAGAGAATCATTGATTGGCTGACTCCTGCAGGCCCCCTAGTGGGGATCAAGCTGGAAACCCAAGCATGTGCCCTTGCCTGGAATCAAACCTGGGACCCTTCAGTCCACAGGCTGATGCTCTATCCATTGAGCCAAAGCAACCAGGGATATATAGATAATTTAAATAGAATATAGTATCATATTTAGCAAGAGGACAAAACACTAGTGTTTAAATGTGAAATGCAGTCTTCAAGCTGTAATCTTAGGTATGCAGGCTTTTTTTTTTGAGCAATTAAAATAATTCATGGATGTTTTTGCTTTCATATTATTTTATGTGATAGAAAGTAGAGTAGATTTAGAAAAGCTTAATAGGCCAGAGGATGAAACATATAAGAATCTGCAAAGAAATATGACTCCGGGAGGAAAAGTGTCGGGTAGCTTCCCGGGTGTGGCATTGTCTTTTTTTAAAAAAATAAAAATATATTTTATTGATTTTTTTTAGAGAGGAAGGGAGAGATATAGAGAGTTAGAAACATAATGAGAAACATTGATCAGCTGCTTCCTGCACAAGCGAACCAGAGAGTCCTATTTTGTATACCGTACAATTTAAAAAGCAGCCTGTATTGGGTAGGCACGGTGAGTATCAAGGGCCTCTCTTTGGTGACCGGTTCCATAGTACAGATTTATAATGCTAGGCTTCCTTATGCTCAGTCCAGAGTTTTCTCAGTTACACGCTCACTTACCTCTTTATACGCTCACTTACCCAACAAGCATCTATTGAACTCCAGGATGTTATCAGGGTAACACCTTAACTTCACCCTAATCCCCATGACCCTATATAGACTATCTCGGGGGACAGAGAAGCCCATCACAGATACTCCTGAGAAAAACGGGCATGCTCATCTGCCTGTGGAACACACCAGCATGAGAAAAGGCCAGCGACACAGAATTTGCTGTGCACTTGACAGCTCGGGTCCGGTGTGAACGAGGAGAGGCGGCCTCCCGGAGGATGGAGAGCCGTGGATGGGAGGATGGCGAGCGGCGCCGAGCAGCGGGGTCCAGGCCGAAAGCGAGGCTCTGCGCCCGGCCCGGGCTGCGAGCGGCGGCAGCGTCGCCCCGGGGGACCGGAGGGCGCAGCGGCGCGGCCTCTCCGGGCGCAGCGCCCCCCGGCGGCGCAACCCGGCCCGCGGCCCGGCGCCGCCCGCCCGCCCGCTCCTCCTTAACCCGCGCGGGAGGCGGCGGCGGCGGCGGCCCGGCGGGCGGGGGCGGGGGAGGGGCCGCAGCGCGGCGCGGAGGCCGGGGAGGAGCCGGGGCCTGCAGCGGAGCCGAGCCGAGCCCGAGCCCGAGCCGAGCCCCGGCACCGTCCGTCCGCCCGCCTTCTGGCTCCGGGGAGCCCGGCCCGGCCGCGCGGGGAGCGGTGGCAGCGCGGGGAGCCCCACGCGCCGAGGGAGCGCACCGGCCGGGACGGGGCCGGGGAGGCGCTGGCGCCGCCGTAGCCGGTGCCCGGGGTGCGGAGCCGCGGCCTCCCGGACCCCGCTGCCCGCCCAGGCCGCCCGGGGCGAGCGGGGAGCACGAGAACCCCACCCTCCGGGGCACCCCGGAGCGGGGACCGGGCGCCTCGCCCGGTGGAGGAGGAGACCCTTGCCGTCCGCGCGCGCGCGGGGGAAAGGAGAGGACACCCCGGTCGGGGACGCGTCCCCCCACTTCTTGGAGGCGAGCAAGATCCCCGTTCCGGCCGGCCGGGGACGCACCTCCGAAGGAGAAGGGGGCGATCCCTGCGGAGGAAGCGGAGTGGGGCCGCCCCATCCGCACGCACACTCTCCGCACTTCGGGACTTTGGAGCGAAAGGGGGTGCGCTGACGGCGCAGGCACCCCTCCATCCTCCCCGGTACTCACAGGAGCAGAGGACACCCCGGGGGGAGGAGAGGGCAGAGCTGCCCCCTCGCCTTCCTGGTGCCTAGACGGTGGAACGGGGCCGAGCCCCTCCGCTCCGGTCTCCGGCGGACGGGAGGAGCCCTCCACTCCCGAAAGAGCCAGCTTGGGGGGGAGGGGGACTCCCCCAAGGGGGAGGAGACAGCTCCTGGTTGGGAGAGGCTCCTCCCCTCCTCCCCGGCGTCACAGGCAGGGTGTGGGGGGTGTGCCACCTTCCCCAGGTGGGACCCCCTTCCCCTCCTCCTCCCTCGGCTCCTCATCCTCAGGGGACCCAGATCCCCTCCCCAGCTCGGGAGGCTCAGCCAAGAACCGGAAGAGCCACAGAGGATGAGACGCCTCAGCCGCCTTTGAAGAGGGGAGTCCCTCCGACCCCACACTCCAGTACCAGGTGGTTCCCTCCCCTGGCTGGGGGAACCTCGGAGACAGGTTAGTGCATTCTTTCATCTTCTCTCCGACGTCAGCTTTAGGCAGTGGTGGGTGCAGGGGTCTGATGAGATGGTGGCTCTTGGGTTTGATCCCTGGGAAAGGTTAGAAGGATAACTCAAGAGACGTGTGTTCTGAAGGGACGCCTGGATTCGAGAACCCACACCTTGCTCTGTGCTGGGGCTCTGAGAAGTGGGCTTCTTAGTGTTTAGGGATGGGATTCACCTGGGAAGTGTATGTTTCCAGGCTGACAGCAAAGGGCTATGGGAAAACACCTGCATTTTCGGTGTCATCCATCCAAACTGTGTAACAGTGATGGACACATCCCAACTAGACTCCCATGTCACCCTGCACCCCTGGGCCGTCTCCCCTGGACAGCGGGCCCTCTCACCTGCAGAGGGCCCTCACTCAAGTCATGGTGGCATCGCATGGCCTGCCCTTGTTTGGGGCTGCCGCGGGTATGACCTTTTCTTATCTGTAGCCCTAATTTGTCTTTATGTCCCGTCCCTGTGATGACCGCTCCCTTGAAAGAAAAAGCACGCGGTCCCCACTCACTGTGCCTCAGCCACCTAGAGGCCTCCTGTCCCGATATTCCCGCCATCTGTCCAACTCCTGTCCTTGGCTGACGGTCCCTCCGGAAAAATCAGGTCCTGCATGGGAAGAAGGGACCTGTTCAGCCTCCTTCCAGCTTCTCCTCTCAAGAAGCTGGCCCACCGGGGAGATGTGACTTCTCAGGAGTTCCCTTCCCTAAAAGCACCTGAGTCTCTCATCTCCTCCCCTTCCCGTTTCTTGTTCGGTTCCGAGTCTCTGGAATAGGGGTGTCGAACTCAATCAGAGAAGGGGCCAAAATCTAAAATCCAGCCTAAATCGCGGGCCGAATGGTTTACTGAACAGTCATAAACTGTCATTGTGATGGAAACGCAGCGGAGTGCAGTGATGACAGCGCGGTGCGGGCCACATTGCAAGGCCTGGCGGGACGGATTTGGCCCGCGGGCCTTGTGTTTGACACATGTGCTCTGGAACCTTGTATTTCAGTGTTTCTTTGTAAGGTTGGAGTAAGGACTCATCCAAGTCCAGAGTCTTTAGAAAAACGCGGGGAAAAGGCGCCAGGAAATTCTTCTAGCTGAGCCCAGGCTGGTGTTTAGGGGAGCTCTGCCCTTCGGCCTGGGATCACGAACGAGAGTGGGACACCTGCCTTCCTGCCTTGTCACTAGGGCATGTCTTCTGTCAGGGGTATTGCAGCCCATGGCACGTCCAGGTGGGAGGCTTTACCACTTTGGGATTTTGTGTTTCTTCTTTCTCTCTTTGGCCCACGGATGGGCTGTCTGAGTCCCTACGAGCATCCACTTGGGCCCGGGGTCTGCCTGTCAGTCGTGCTCTATAGGAGTAGAGGAGACAGAACCACAATCCAGGGTTGTATGGCTGTGCTTTAGTAGGGGTGTCGAACTCAATCAGAGAAGGGGCCAAAATCTAAAATCCAGCCTAAATCGCGGGCCGAATGGTTTACTGAACAGTCATAAACTGTCATTGTGATGGAAACGCAGCGGAGTGCAGTGATGACAGCGCGGTGTGGGCCACATTGCAAGGCCTGGCGGGACGGATTTGGCCCGCGGGCCTTGTGTTTGACACATGTGCTTTAGAGCAATGTGGCGCATATGTTTCTTCGTTCCCGGTGAGTGTGGCTCGATCTGACCTCTGTCTGTGCTTCAAGTGGGTGTGCTTCTGGAGACAGGTACAGGTGTGCGTTTCAGACCCAGAATTGTATGTTTCCAGAAGGCTCTGAAAGCAGGTCCCCCTGTGCAGTGTGACCCGGGGAGGGTTCTGGTGAGGATGCCTGGCGGGAAGGAAAGGCTGGGCCTCCCCTGGCCCGCGGGAGCCCTCAAGCGCGGCTGCAGCCCGAGCAGCAGGGCAGCCCAGCCTCAGGCTGGGGTCGCCTCTGTAGGACTAACAAGAGAGCTTCATTCCTGGTGTCTCCAGGCTCAAGAGCATGAGGATCTTTCGGCTCTTAGTCCGAGAACTCCTTCCCTGACTTTTGAAAAACGGCTCTGGTGTAACAGCAGTTTATTTCTTCCAAAGTACTTTACCAGATGCTGGAATGCAACTTGTTGAGCGGTAACACCTCCAGGTGTACCGCCACCACACGGCCGCCCAGGCCCTGCTTGCCCAGAGTGTTCCAGTCCCTGCCTCTGTGGAGTCAGTCAGAAGCACAGGGCTCTGGGCTGAACGGACTGTGATTTAGAGAGTGCTGTTTTCCGGGTCATGTCTTATGGCCAGACCTAGGCCACCCCCCTCTTCCCACCCCACCCCCTTCCCCCCACTGAAAAATAAGAGATGACATTCTCCCATTCCTTCATCCCCGGAGTTTGCTGGGTCCTGACATGGATCAGGGATACTATCTCCCCCGCCCCCCCCCCCCCCCCAAAAAAAAGCTTGAGATTCTGATATCTTGCGAATGATTGCAAACTCAGTGTGCAGGCTTTGCAGTATAAACCATCGCCGGCTTTCTGCTCCCAGTCTTACCTCTATGATCTGTCAGTTTTCTAATTTTTAATGTCTAATGTTCTTTTTCCCCCATTCAGAAAAAAAAAAAAATAATAGTTACACTTACTAAGTGCTTTAAGGTATTAAGGTACGGGGCGGGGACAGGAGCGGGGTGCAGGGAGTCAAGGGGGTGGGGGGGGGAGAAGGGGGACATCTGTAACACTTTCAACAATAAAGTTAATTAAAAAAAAAAGTATTAAGGTAATCTTCATGACAACCTTATGTAGGTATAGTTATCATCTTTAATTTACAGATGCAGAAACTACAACACACAGGGGTTAAGTAACTTGCCTGAGGTTGCAAGGCCAGTAGGTAGTGGAGTCAGGACTGAAGTCCAGGCAGCCCACTGGTAATTGGTAATGTGGTTAACTTGGCCATTGCTCTATTATGTGCAAAGCAGGAAACGATCGCTCCTTAATGCCTGGCCTTGGCACCATACGGAGAATAATTACTGGCCTTGCAGATAAAATGGGAAGAAAACCGTGCCTGTAATTTTGGGTCTGACATGTCTCATCCAGAATCAGCCTTCCACTCCAACAGAGCGTCTTTCTGTTTTCCTCTGCCTCTCTCCCCGCACTGGAGTCTTCCTCAGACGCCCTGTGGATGTGATGGAGCCTGCCCTTTGGCTGCCTTTCCCAGTTTCTGTGGGTATTTCCTTTCAGTCTTCCAGCGCGCAGAGAAGAATGTGGCCTGACTCAGGTTCTGCCCGAGCCCCGTGGCACCAGGCCCACCTGGAGAGAGAGGTCTGGGGAACTAGGTTGGTTGGACTGAGAAATGGAAGTACCTCTTGTTTGCCTTTCTAATAATAGCCCTGCACGCCAGCCTCATGCCATTATTTTGGGGAGCGTGGAATGTGTGGCAGCCACGAGCTCATTAAGCTTCATTCACTTCCCTCCAGGGGATGAAGCCTTGGCAGTGTTTAGGACCTCGTCCCTCTTATTAGCAGGGGAAACTGAGGCATGGAGACTTGAGGGAGCAAGGGGTGGTTAGGGATGTTTACTGAGTCAGTGTCAAGGTTGGGAATGGGACACAGGAACCTCCCGCGTCTGAGCTTTTTCACACTGGGTTGCCCTTCAAGAATGGGGAAGTGACGGGAGTGAGGAAGTGGGATGGGTGGAAGGCGAACGGTGCTGAAAGATCAGGAGGACCTTTTGCTGCAAGCTTCTTGCAGCTGATGAGACTGGAATATATTTTGAGTGCTGGGGCATATCTGGAGGGCTGACCGGGAGGGTGCTGGAGAAAGGTTAAAGTTTACCCCCGTGTCCTAAACCTGGTGCCGGGGTAAGGATAGGGAAGGGCGCAGAACAACCAGCGACAGGCTGAGAGTGCTTCCCTTCCCGGAAGTCACCCTGATTGGCATGTGCCCAATGGGTTCTGTAAGCCCTCTGACCATCTACCCTCATGCTCCTGTCCAATGTGGGGGGTGAGTTTCAAATGAAATATCCACTAAAGGCTTAAGATTTCCTCGGGATCTTTAGCAGGAGGTCCTAGGGAGTAGGGTAGACTTTCTTCACAGACCTTCCCTGTGGTCACCGAGTACCTGCTCATTGTCTAGTATTGTCCAGCTGGGATAAGCCGGCCATGGGACCCGGTTACTGCCCAAACAGCCCTGCTTTACCACAGGGGCTGTGGTGCTCTGATTTAGGATAGTGCCAGGAGGTCTGAGACTTCCTGGGATGATTCAATATCCCTATCAGTGTCCAAGTTTCTGTGGGTGGTGGGAGAGAAGATAGGAATAAAAGGAAAACCCCTCTATAAAACTATTTATAAATGTGATCTCCCCCCCCCCCCCCAAATCCCCCAAATCCCCTTCTCTTGTCAGCAATGCTTGGGTTGCAATTGGATCTCTGGCTGCCTGGGCCCCTGAGGCACTAAGGTGTTTCCTTCGTCCTTGTAGAGTGGGCGTGCTGCTGGTGACGAGCTCAGGGCTGGGTGCCCGTGTGTTTGTGCAAAGACGGGAGGGACGGTGTAGGTGGGGACCTTGCGGGGGAGAGAGATGACCACGAATGCTGACGTTTAGGAGAAAGGGGTGAGTGTCAAGGGGGCTGGGGGGAGAGTCAAGAGCGACGGATAGCCTGGAAGAGGGATTGGAAATGGGAGAGGGGGAGGCAGCTATAGCTAGGACTGAGCTCTGGATGGCTAAGTGTGTGGACTTGTGTGTAGTTGTACGTATGTGCGTGTGTACAGTATCTGTGCGTGGATTTAAGAGGTCACACACATAATGCGTTTCTGTCCAGGATTCTGAAATCCGAGGCGTGCTAGAGAATTGCCCTGGCGGGGCTGTCTGCAGGGACAGGGAGGAAGAAATACTAGTTGGAATCTGGAGGCTGTGCAGGCACAAACCTGTCAGGCAGCAAGGGCTTAGGGGGTTGCTGGCACCAGCTCTAGGGGAGTTGCCAAATGGCTACCACGCGGTTCCTGCCGGCCTTGCTAGACCCTGCGACACAGATGTCCCCCACCGTTCTCCTCCTTCCCCCACCGAGGTGTCACTCTAGCTACACCTCCCTGCCAGTAAGAGCGCCCAGGCAGTGTGGGTGGCAGCTGGGCGTGCACACAGCAGGCGTGGGCGGTTTGGCAGCACCAAGAAGTTTGCATGAAGGTGCAGCGAGCGAGCGTGCGTGCCTGGCTGGGAAGGAAGGAGAGAGGAGGAGGAGGAGGGCGGGAGAAGGGGAGCCAGTTCTTAGCCCCAGAGTGGCTATTTTTAGCCAGGCTATCTGATTGTTAGCGGTGTGCACCCAGCTGGGTGTCTCCCTGGCTTAGTGAAGCCCAGCAGGCCGAGAGAGGTGGGAGGTCCCTGCTGATGACTTCCTCCTGGTGGAGGTGTCTGTGGGCCGAGCTTGCAGAAGGGGTAGCTTTCAAGGTGCGAGGGCAGCAGAGCTCAGGAGCTGTTACCTCTCTGTGTGTGTGACTTCGTGCTGTGTTGGTAAGGTATGCAGTATAGCTAATCGTGATCTCTGTTTACGTTTCTGTCTTACATCTGTCCTTTGCTGGTGGTAGTCGTATGTAATGTATGCTTGGTATATATTTGATATGCCTCATGCACATGTATGTGGGCTAAAAGGGGCCGATGCTCACTCTTTCTAGCATTTGGTGTATGCTTCATCGGTGTATATTTCTGTTTAGAGTGTTTTTCTTCACATGCTCACTTGTGCTGTCGGTATATGTTGTATGTAAATTACAGCAAGTGTCACATAATTGAGGAATAGACTTTGGCAGATGTTTCCTGCTATCTAAGTGTATTTAAAAAAAAATTATTTTGTACAGCCGAAACCGGTTTGGCTCAGTGGCTAGAGTGTTGGCCTGCGGACTGAAGGGTCCTGGGTTTGATTCCGATCAAGGGCATATACCTTGGTTGCAGGCACATCCCCAGTAGGGGGTGTGCAGGAGGCAGCTGATCAATGATTCTCTCTCATCGATGTTTCCAACTCTTTATTCCTCTCTCTTCCTCTCTGTAAAGAAATCAATAAAAAATATATTAAAAATTTATTTCGTACATACTTTAAAGATATTATGTTGTAGGGCTTTCAGTAAGGAGAACAGAGGGAATAGCTTAGTTGGGTGGTTTGATCTCACTTTTAGTCATACATGAAGGGGGAGACCTCTAGGTTATGTTTCACATTCAGATGTAGATGTAAGTACCAGCCAGTCTGTCATCTGGTAGATGATTGGTGATAGATGCACGTGGTTCTAGGACCACGTGGAGGGCTGTCTCTCAGAGAAGTTGACTGAGGGGATGTAGAAGAAAGAAACTATTTCCTTTATTTTTTTTAATTTATTTTTTATTTTTTTAAAAATATATATATATTTTATTGATTTTGTACAGAGAGGAAGGGAGAGAGATAGAGAGTTAGAAACATCAATGAGAGAGAGTCATTGATCAGCTGCCTCTTGCACACCCCCTACTGGGGATATGCCCGCAACCAAGGTACATGCCCTTGACCGGAATCGAACCCGGGACCCTTCAGTCCCCAAGCCGACGCTCTCTATCCATTGAGCCAAACTGGTCTCGGCAGAAACTATCTCCTTTAAAGCACTGGGATTCGGGTATTACCTGTCACCTGTCACCAGAGGTAACACTCATTTTTCTGTTTCCTTTGTCCATTTCTCTCCAGAACCCAGAAGAGCCATGGCTTCTGATCTGGAGAGCAGCCTCACCTCCATAGACTGGCTCCCCCAGCTGACCCTCCGGGCTACCATCGAGAAGCTGGGGAGTGCTTCCCAGGCCGGCACGCCGGGGGGCAGCCGCAAGTGTCCGCCAGGCTCGCCCACAGACCCTAACGCCACGCTGAGCAAGGATGAGGCGGCAGTCCACCAGGACGGCAAGCCACGCTACAGCTACGCCACCCTCATCACCTACGCCATCAACTCCTCCCCGGCCAAGAAGATGACCCTCAGCGAGATCTACCGCTGGATCTGCGACAACTTCCCCTATTACAAGAATGCTGGCATCGGCTGGAAGGTGGGATGGCTTCTGTCACCAGCGGTTATTTTCAGCCTTTGACAACTTTTTTTTCCCCCCTCCCTACTTTTGTTTCTTTAATCTGGCCCAATTGACTGACCTGCCTCAGGCATGTGGTATATACTTCCATCAGCTACATCAGGGAAACGCCAGTGATAGGGAGCCTCTAAGTATAGTTGCGGGGCTAGTAGGATGTTGTTGTTACGCATTATTCCCTCTTATCTTCTCATTCCTCAAAAAGAATATCCACTCATTTCACAGGTATTTATTGCCACTCCACTGTGTTCAAGTCACTGTGCAAGGGATAGCACTGCTTCTTCCTACGTGGTCTTGGAATCCCATCACATTTCCAAAGCTTCATTGCACATAGTCATCATCTTTTTAAAAACTGTCCACCAGGAAAAAATACATAATTAGGTCCTTTACCAACAGCTCATCGACCAAGCAAGTAATGAGAGGATAAGTCACTTGGCTGGAGATTAAAAAAAGAAGGGGACTCCTCTTCCGAGCTAGGAAGGAAGATGGATGGTGTCCGTCCTTTGGAGTACCAGTTCATTTGGCCACTGTAGTGCAGAATGGGGTTTTAATGGAGTTCTCGCCCTGAATGAATCACCAGTTGATATACAAACCAGATGATGAGCTGAAGACTGTTGAAAGCATTCAGTTTTTCTTTTCCTTTATGCATATGCCCCTGCTAGCTACCAAATCTCCGACACATTTACAAAAACGGCAATATTTCTTTCCTTCAGATGTGTCCCATCTATGGGCTGTTGAGAAAACAAAGGTGAACTGTGCCTTTGTTTTACCCATAACTTGTATTTATTATCATGAATAGAAACAGTTTTAAAATTGTTTGTAAACAGTTTTTGTTGTCAGTCTTCACCTGAGGATATTTTCCATTAATTTTTAGAGACAGTGAAGGGTATGAGGGAGACAGAGAGAGAGAGAGAGAGAGAGAGAGAGAGAGAGAGAGACAGACAGACATTGATATGAGAGAGACACATTGCTTATGCTCCAACCAGGGCCAGAGTTATTTCTAGCTTACAACCGAGGTACGTGTTATTGCCCAGAATTGATCCCAGGACTCTTTAATCCGCAGGCCAACACTTTTATCTACTGAGCCAAACTGGCAAAGGCTAAAACTTTTTTTTTTCTTCTTAATCTATATTTAGAATGGTATGGAAATTGGGCAGATGTGATTTTGAGGCATTCATATATACTTATCATCAATTGGGTGGGAAGATTGAAAAACTACATAAACAGCTTTCCCGAAGCACTTGGTAGCCACATTTATAGCCAACACTGCTCATCCATATAATTTCTGCATTTTTTCTTAGTTCATTGTTCTTGCCATCTGTTAGGTGTGCTCCTTCATCAGTAAGGCTGAGCGGTGCTGCGTTTACTCTGACACTTGAACTTTGTTTTGTGTTATGTCCTTTGGTGTCCCTGTGTGTCCTATTGATTGGAAAATGCTCTGCTTTGCACAATGCTCAAATCTAACTGGTTTCTGTGTTTTCCCAGAACTCAATTCGGCACAACCTTTCTCTCAACAAGTGCTTCCGGAAGGTGCCCAGGCCCCGGGATGACCCTGGGAAGGTGAGATTCTGCTCGCTGTAAGCACTGAAGGAGGAACAGGAAGGAGAGAGAAGTAGCTGACAGCCCAAACTCTTGTGGTTGTTTTATTTAGCCAGAAGAGGAAATCATGTTAGAGAAGCAGCTTTATTTTTTTCTCAATGGAAGAGCTTGGCAATCAAGCTTGTAGGGCCCCACTAAAATGAGTGACTAAGGAAGATTGTAAAATCTTTTTTTTTCTTTTAATATTCGTAGTGATTTTAGAGAGGAAGGGAGAAGGAGAGAGAGAGAGAAATGGAAACATCAGTGATGAGAGGGAATCATTGATCGCCTGCCTCCTGCACCCACTTCGCTGGGGATTAAGCCCACAACCTGGGCATGTGCCCTGATCAGGAATCGAATCATGACCTCCTAGTTCATAGGTCGATGCTCAACCACTGAGCAACACCCGCGAGGTGTGAAATCTTATAAAAAATAGAAATAGTTATGTTAAAGTTGACTTTGCTGCCCTGTGGGTTTGTGTGTGTGTGTGTGTGTGTGTGTGTGTGTGTGTGTAGCACTCATTCTAGATGTAAAAGGTGGTCTTAATAACCTTTTAAGAACTTTTTATCTTTTAAAAGAAGAGGTAGGTCATTCTCTTTGTTTGACAGATTTGGATGCTAAAGCCCAGGAGAGTCTTGCCTCAGATCACATGGAAGAGTAGCTATTTGAACTAGATATTGTTCTATCCCTCCAGAACAAGAGGTCTGAGTTTACACCATATGGGATATCTCTGATACCCCCTATTAGGACAAACTTACTCCTCAAAATTAACTAGTATCCTCAAGCTTCTGTGTGAATTTTCAGTCATATATATATATATATTTTTTTGCTCCACTTTACTTAATACATAGAACTGTTACTTTATGAGAAAAATCCTCCCAAATATCTGCTTTCCCAAAGGTGAGACTTTTCATTGAAAATGGTTTTGTTGGTGCTGGTTCTCCTTCTAGGGCTCTTACTGGACCATCGACACTTGTCCCGACATCTCCCGAAAAAGGAGACACCCACCAGACGATGATGTAAGTCCCCACCTTGTGGAGAGATGTCTTTTCTGAGCCAGTTGCTCCTTCCACACTCTTTCCCGAGTTCTCAGGCTTTTTATATATTGGGGCAAAGGCCAAATACCAGCAGAGGTGAAGCCATGGGTCTTGGGAGGAAGGTTAGCTTCTGCTTATGGATTTCTATTTCACACCCCTCAGCTATCCCAGGACTCACCAGAACAGGAGGCAAGCAAGAGCCCTCGGGGAGGCGTTCCAGGGGGCGGAGAAGCCTCACTGCCTCCAGAAGGGAATCCTCAGATGTCGCTGCAGAGCCCCACATCTATCACCAGCTACAGCCAGGTAGGAAGGAGAGGTGGCAGGGGGAATAGAGGGAGATGGATGGATGGATGAGTTGGTGGCTGGGTGAATGGGTGGATAGGTGATTGGGTGGTTACATAGAGTCATCTATCTTTCAGTTCAAAAGTATTGAGTACCTGTGATACAGTAGGCAGATAAATTGGTCATGAAGGGGGGAGCAAAAGAGGGAAGCTGAGAGAGAGAGAATGAGAACAGAAACCTGAGAAAGATTAGGAAAAAAAGGGATGAGAAGAAGGGGGCAAAAAAAAGTTTATAAGAGAAATAAGTGCATGGAAGTAGCACAGGGAAAGCACAAGAGGCTACATCAAAATATGAACATATGCTCATTCGTTGCAAAGTTGGTAGAGGACGAAGACAGGCAGGAGAGCTTGGGGAGCACTAAAGGGGTGGTACTGGTCCCTCCTTGGGGATGCGGATCAAGTCTTTCTTCTGTTTGTAGGGCACAGGATCTGTGGATGGTGGAGCTGTGGCTGCAGGGGCTCCAGGCCGAGAAAGTGCTGAGGGCCCCCCTCCCTTGTATAACACCAACCAGGACTTCAAATTCTCCTACTCAGAGATCAATTTTCAGGATCTGAGCTGGTCCTTCCGCAACCTCTACAAATCCATGCTGGAGAAGTCCTCCTCCTCTTCTCAGCATGGTGAGTCTGAAGGTGGGACGGGAGCATGGGCATCCTTGTGTTTTTGAATAGATGGTGACATTCTCTTTTCTCCCTTCTTTCTTATTTTTAACACAAGGAGAGGTTGATCACTGGTCAGGGGATGCATGTCATGAATCAGTACTGTTTGGAGTTGAGCTCTTCTGTCTTAGTTCTGAAGGACAGCTGTTTCAGCACACGGTCTGGGTTATTAGCTTCAGGAAGTGAGCTGGAAGCATCCCCTTTCTAGAGGGAAGGGGGATTTTATTGCTGTAACAAGTCATTTAGAGAATGACCACTAGGGGGCAGCAGTTCTCTTTCCTTAATAGTCAGTACTCCTCTCCCTACTCCCCCAACCCCAAAACCCTTCCCCCTACTTTTCTTTGTGAGAACAATTTAATCTTATTTTTTAGCATATTTATATTTGTTAATTTTTTATTAGTAAAAATTTCAAACAGATGTAAAAATAGAGAAAATAGTATTATAAACCCTCATGTTTCCATCTCCCAACTTAAACAGTTACCAATATTTTGTTAAGCTTGTTTCATTCACCGCTCAGCTTTTTTTCTTCTTCCCATCACCTTTTATCCCCCTTGATGCCCTCTTCTACCTCCACGATCCCCTTCTTTTTAATTGGAGTATTTTGATGCAATTTTCAGACATGTCATCTACCTGTAAATATCATTTCAACATGCATCCTTAACAAAAAAGACATTTTTTTGTTATTTATATATATTAACCCACCACAATTTAATGTAAAGTTTATATCTTGTTCATACTCAACTTCCTGATTTGAGAATGATTTAAAGTCCTTATTGGGAGACTCAATCTGGTTCAGCCCTCTGGAATTCCTCTTTTGTTGTTCTGTTTTGTTTTTAAATAAATTAGAGGTAGTGGTAAAATCAAGACTTCTCGATGAGGGGATGGGTAGAAATGGAAGAGGGTATATGGGGATAAATGGTGATGGAAAAATAAATAAAACAAAATGTAAAAAATAAAAGACATTAGGTGAATCATTAGATCTTCTTGTTCTATACTCTGGCCTTGTACAGACATCAGGAGATGAATGGAATGATTAAAAGTAGTTAGGACTTACTGTTTGGAAATTTTATATTAATTGTCATGAATTTCTTTTAGAAAATATTTTTATTGATTTCAGAGAGGAAGGGAGAGGGAGAGACAGAAACATCAAATATGAGAGAGAATCACTGATTCTCCCTGGGCTTATGCCCTGATCTGGAATTGAATCCATGATCTGCTTCATAGGTCGACGCTCAACTACTGAGCCACACAGCCTGGGGATTTGAATCTAGAGTTGTGTTCTAAAATTGTAGCATTTGCATGAGAAATTAATCCAACTCAGGTGATTGGTTGATTGGAAGGGAAGAACATGGAGGAGCTTTCAGAAACAAAGTAAAAAGTTATATTGGTGAGGACAGCAAAGTGTTCGCTGAATTTTAATGTTGGCCTAAAGCCACTAGCCTCAGTCTCTAATTCTCTTCTGCCTAATTTGTTTGAGAAATTCATCAATTCCTCACTGAAGCTCCATTTGTTGGTAGTGAATACAGTAGAAGGGTGTAGAGACAATAAGGAAGAGGAGAGAATAGACTCCTGTGGCTTTATTTTATTTATGATTTACTTTTTATATATATATATTTATATATATATATTAAACATCATCTGCATATTTATTTATTTATTTATTTTTATATATTTTATTGATATTTTACAGAGAGGAAAGGAGAGAGATAGAGAGCTAGAAACGTCGATGAGAGAGAAATATCGACCAGTTGCCTCTTGCACACCCCTATCGGGAATGTGCCCGCAACCAATGTACATGCGGAATCGAACTTGGGACCTTTCAGTCTTCAGACCGATGCTCTACCACTGAGCCAAACCGGTTTCGGCTGATTTACTTTATATATATATATATATATAATTTTTAAAAAAATATTTTATTGATTTTTTACAGAGAGGAAGGAAGAGGAATAGAGAGTTAGAAACATCGATGAGAGAGGAAATATCGATCAGCTGCCTCCTGCACACCCCCTACTGGGAATGTGCTCGCAACCAAGGTACATGCCCTTGACTGGAATTGAACCTGGGATCTTTCAGTCTGCAGGCCGATGCTTTATCCACTGAGCCAAACCGGTTAGGGCTTATGATTTACTTTTAAAACTTGACCTGATGTCTGATGTCTTTCGAAACTATGATTAAAGCCTACACTCAAATCCTTGTACAAAAGCATAGAAAGGGCCCTAACCTGTTTGGCTCAGTGGATAAAGCGTCAGTCTGTGGAATGAAGGGTCCCAAGTTCAATTCCAGTCAAGGGGGTATGCATGAGGCAGCTGACGGATGTTTCTAATTTTCTATCCCACTTTGTAAAAAAAAATCAATAAAATATATATTTTTAAAAAGCATAAAAAGGTACATGCTGACCTAAAATTTCAGTGGTCACCACACTGTCAAGGCCTTCCCTCTGCTTTACCAATGAGGGGCCAGTGCCATCCCTGCTGTCCCAGATCACCCTTGTCTTTGGAGTCTGTGGTTTCCATGTGAGGCTGCCACCAGTGGAAATCCTGTGGAGTGAAAATGCATTGCCCAAGTGACTCGCCTGCTTCCTCCCACCCTGCAGGCTTTTCCTCTCTCCTGGGGGACATGCCACCCTCTAACAACTACTACATGTACCAGCAGCAGCAGCCGCCTCCTCAACAGCAGCAGCAGCAGCAGCAACAGCAGCAGCAGCAGCAGCAGCAGCAGCAGCAGCAGCCGCCACCACAGCCACAGCCCCAACAGTCACAGGCACAGCAGCAGCAGGCACCAGCCCAGGGCCCCTCAACCGTAGCGGGTGCTCCTCCACTGCACACCCCAAGCCCAGATGGATGTACCCCACCGGGGGGCAAGCAGGCTGGGGCTGAAGGCTATGGGCCTCCCTCTGTGATGGCCATGCATCCACCCCCACTGCAGCATGGAGTCTTCCACCCTCATCAGCACCATCCCCACACCCACCCTGCCCAGCAGCCGCCGCCTCCGCCGCAGCCACAGGCACAAGGCCAGGCTCCTATCAATAGTACTGGTTTTGGTGAGTAAGGATGGTTCAGGGATATGCTGGGGGGATGCTGGGGGGGGGGGGTGTTTGAATGACCCCTTTTTCTGACTCCGGCATGGAGGTCCAATTAATTGGTGAGGAGGTAAATACCGAGTCCAGCCTCTCCTTCGCGAGAGCTCATCTGAACTAACTCGCTGCTACTGGAGCTCTGATTTAGAGAAATTGTAGATAAACTGGGATTGTTTTTCAGTATATTCTCCTGCCTATGAGCTGAGCTGTCAATACCTAATGCATAGATAGCTTTGCTTGTCCCAAATCTCCAGGGAGGGAGATTCTAAAATTGTCTCGGTAATGCAATCGATCGTCTGTATGGATGCAAGAATCGTACATGTGGTCAGTCTGCTGCTAATGAGCTGACGGCCGTCTTACACCTGGCTCTCTCTTATGCCCCACTCTGTCCTCTTTACAGCCTTTCCTCCTGACTGGTGCTCCAATATCGACTCCTTAAAGGAAAGCTTCAAGATGGTGAATCGGCTCAATTGGTCCAGCATTGAGCAGTCACAGTTCTCAGGTTAGTGATGACGGAAGAGAGGAGGGAGCTAGTTGGAGTAGACAAACCCAATAGAAATCAGAACTAGAAGGGAATGGTTAAGTGGCTTGAAGATTTCATTGTTTTCCCTCCGTATTTTAAAAAAACGTATATTTTATTGATTTTTTTTACAGAGAGGAAGGGAGAGGGATAGAGAGTCAGAAACATCATTGAGAGAGAAACATCAATTCAGCTGCCTCCTACACACTCCCCACTGGGGATGTGCCTGCAACCAAGGTACATGCCCTTGACCAGACTCAAACCTGGGACCCTTCATTCCGCAGGCCGACGCTCTATCTACTGAGCCAAACCTGTTAGGGCTTCCCTCCATATTTCACAAGGTAGATGATATTGATATGATTTGCAAATTAAGTTCCATAAATTTAGCCTTATCTCAAAACATGAGAGTGGTTTATCCTAGCCAATTCTTTCTCTGGGAGAGAGGAAAGGCTCTCAGAAATTCAGAAAACCTGGACCAGTGGTTTGAATTTTTGTCACCATTTGCTGACAGTGTGACCCTGGCTCATTCCTTCAGCTACTTTGAAACTTTGTTTCACTCATCAGTAAGATCAAAGTGATAACACGAATTTCATAACAAACAAGTAGAATGAGAGTTTGAAAACGTAGAGCTCTAATGGAATGCCAGTTATAATGGATAATGCATTTATTGGGTGGTATTGATTTGTGATGTGGTTGGAACAGTGAGATGGGGTAGATCCGATAGGGGCTCTGGGCCTCTGCAAGGTTAGCCTTTCTTGCTTCTCTGCTTGCAGAACTGATGGAGAGTCTGCGACAGGCAGAGCAGAAAAACTGGAGCCTGGACCAGCATCACATTGCCAATCTGTGCGACTCCCTCAACCACTTCCTTACTCAGACTGGTCACGTGCCCCCTCAGGGGCCATCCCACCGGCCACCAGCCCCTGCCCGAATTGCTGACTCCTGTGCCCTCACCAGCTGCAAACAAGAGCCAGCCCTAAACCAAGGTAGGAACAAAGCTAGTGGCCAAGGAGGTGGAGACTCTGATGAAAAGGGAGGGGGAGGAGGAGGACAGAAGGAAATGGAGAGAAATCATCTAATGGGCAGGGATCCAAACTGAGCAGCAGGACAAGTTTGTTCACCACATTGTCTGAACATTTATCTGTAAAGTCCTGAAGAATGCCAAAGAAACAGGCCGTGTGATTCCTGGACATGGAAGATGAACATTATGTAAGAAAAGGGAGGAGAAAGTCTCCATTCCAAATCTGTGCTCAGTAACCCATACCTGAATCATAGCAGGTGAAGGCTTGGTTCTCTGCACTTGTATGATCATCAAACCAGTGACAGACAGATTCAGTGATCCTATTTCTTTTTTTCTTTTATTGATTCCTCCCCCCACCCCGTCCCCCCCACTCCAGGAGGAAGAGAGAGGGATTGAGAGTTAGAAACATCGATGAGAGAGAAACATCGATCAGCTGCCTCTTGCACACCCCCTACTGGGGATGTGCCCGCAACCAAGGTATATGCCCTTGACTGGAATAGAACTCGGGACCTTTCAGTCTGCAGGCCGACGCTCTATCCACTGAGCCAAGCAGGTTTCGGCAGTGATCCTATTTCTATATTTGTCATCCTTCTAATACATGACTATGTTCTTTCACAGTTCTCCTGTTGGGGTCCTTTATACCCTCCGTGGTGAGGATTGATAGCTCCCGCAGAAAGCCTTCATGCCCTTGGAGGCTGTAGAACAGAGTAGGGGAGGGGAAGGGAAAAGGAGGGAGGGGACTGTTTTCCCCCTTCTCTGTGGGACCCTGCTGCATTGAGTAGAATGATCCCACTCAAGTAACTGTTCCCCTGTTTGGCAGTGAACTCTTACGGGCACCCACAAGCCCCGCACCTATACCCTGGCCCGTCTCCGATGTATCCAATCCCCACCCAGGACTCAGCAGGATACAATCGCCCAGGTAAGAGCCAGCAAACTTGTTTGACCGCCAAGCACTCTCTTCCCTGACCAGATGTTTCACTTTCTTCTGTATCTGGGTCTTCATTCCCTGCACCTTCTGGCAGGAACGAGCCTTCATGATTCTAAAGGCCGGAGTTGGGTCACCTGAGGCGTATGTCATGGGAGACTAGACACTTACTTTGAAATTATCTGGTCCTTGCGATAACGAAAGGCAGTAAAAGCATGACTGTAAATAAAAGATGGATAACGTAGAATATTTATGTCTAACTTACGGAGCTGAGAGATATACTCAGGCAAATAAATGAACATGATATGCAAAACATAAAACATAGCTGCTTTGTGTCCCTGGCTACTTTCCTGTTGCCTGACCTCTGGAATCAGGGGCCTGGGATTAAATGATCTCAGATGGTAGGAGTGCCAGGGGACACCCAAGGTTATCAGAAACAGTACAAAATGAACTATTTCACCTGAAATCCATTTTAGAAAAAATCCTGCCAAGCCATAAGCGTTTTCAATTGTGGGAGTGACATTGGAATCTTTGTCCATGTATTCCTTACCATATAATACACACATTTCTGTGCTGCTTTTCAAATACTATTGATAGTACATTCTGTATGTTGTTTGTCATTATTACCTAGTCTTTGTAAGTGTAAGTGTGATGGCTGCAAACTGTTATATTGGCATGGAAGCTGGTTTGGTCTAGTTTATTTCCTGGGGCCTCATTGAAGTTGTGGCTGGCCACAAAAATAACTCAGGGATGATAAGAACAATAGGTTCACCGGACATTCCTTGTGGTTTATGGGGGCTGAGCACTGGCCATCTAACGGATAGAATAGCTTCCTGTCTATTCCCCTTTTAATGTCTTTCTCTCTTCCTGATAGCACACCACATGGTCCCCCGGCCGCCGGTTCCACATCCTGGTGCCAACGAGGAGATCCCCGATGACTTCGACTGGGACTTGATCACTTAGTGCATCACAGAGTGTGACTCTCAGCCCAGGGCCGGGCGGTGAAGCCTGGCAGTGGGGAAAGAGCAGCCCCAGCCCATCCCTTCCCCCACTGCCTGTATATAGATATATATCCTCTTGTTTTTGTTCTTTCTCTGTCAGAGAAATCACCGCAAGATGCTGCCGAAGATAACCCCTTTTCCCTGCCTCCTTCCTCCTTCTTCTTGTTTCCCCCCTGATTCTTTTATTCTTATTATGTTACTGTTATGCGTATTGGTTATATGCGGTCCCCTGTCTCCCATCTCTATACCATCAACCATGTGCACCCCTTGCTAATTTAAAGTCATCTGGCTGGAAGGCGAGGCCGTGATAGCTGCAGAGAAAGGTTTCCAACTCGGATTTACCTTTCACTCTGAGACGTTCAATGCTGACCTTACCTTTCGACCTTAAATTGTTTTCTGTTCCTGTCAGTTCAGTCCAGGACTGGAAAGGCCACATTACCAAGTAGAAGGACCTCAGACACTGCTTGGCAGCCAGGACTTTGCAGGTTTTACTCAATGGTGCTAATTTTGGCCTCTGAGCTCTTCCCTGTCCCTTCATATTTTCAGTCCTTACTTCTGTTGGTCCTCATTCCCCACTAAGGGTAAGAGTGATGGTGGTGGTGCCCAAAGGTGACAGCAGAACCCTGGTGGAATAGGAGGCCTGGGTTGGGTGGTGTAGAATACTGCAGCGGGGCAATGAAATGTAAAACATCCAGCGATCTTACCTAATAATAGACAAACATGTAAATTGACCATACCTCCGCTAAGCCACCAGACAGTCAGGAGTGATATGCAAAATAACCCAACAAAAGTGGCCGAGTGACGGGCGGGATGCTCAGGGACTCTGGGCAGTGTCGGAAGGCGGGGTTGGAGCTGGAAAGAGGCAGCTCCGGGGCCTGAGTGGAAAGGGGCTGGGCCAAAGTGGAAAGATGGTGCCGGCATCCAGGGAAAGGAAAGCCCATTCTAGCACGAATCTTCGTGCATCATGCTTCTAGTTGGTATATAATACTCTTATCAAATCAACATCCATTGGCTTGTTCCTAAGCCATTCTCGAAGGGGGTCAGAACTCTGTTGCTATGTAGGAATGAGGACAACTATTCAGCATAGGCTCAGCTTTTTGGAGATGTTTTCAGTGTAACCGTTTTGGCTTTTGAAACATTAAAATTTTCTCTGGAAATGTACTGTGGCTCTTACCTGCATTTACAGATTAGTCTTCCATCCTCTTTCCCACTCAGCAAATACTATGTTGTCTTCCTTTTGGTTATTGGTTCAACTCCCCTACTCACCTTATTTTCTCCCCTCATTTTCTGGCATTCTCATGATAGAAAAGTAACCCATTATCACTCTTCGTGTCCTCATGTCCCAGGACAGGATGGGAATCCCTTTCCCACCGATCATAGCTGAACCAACCTGAATTGGTGGTAGGAGGGTGGGCGAAGGAAAATGGAGCTGGCATCGACACAGGAAAGAACTCTTTCAAGTTCTTTCATTATATAGGCAAATGCTCTGTTGGAATCCAGACCCTTGGGGCTGTAACGTTTACAGTGGCCTTTGGAGGGGGTGAAGGAGCTTGGCAGCGTGGGGTAAATAATCTAGAAGGAAGAGTTCAATGAGAGAACCAAGGGAGACCCCCTCAGGAAAAGGTATACAGATAACTTCTCTCCTTTAACAAGGGGTGGCCATGATTTATTGCTGCAGAGTACTCAGAGTATATTGATATTCATTGTTGAATTGTAGTTATGGGGAGGGAAGAACAGTTTTACTACCGTTTTTCTCTGAATGTTTAGTTTCTGAAAGCTACAGGATATAATGTATGGACTGGACAGGGCCACTCTCTCAGTGATTTCTGTTTTGTTTTGTTTTGTTCATATTTCTTTATTTACTGATGATTTCCAAAAGATTTAGCTTTCCACTGCTGCTTTCCCCCCCTCTCATCCCCCTCCTTTCTTTAGAAGGGGGTTATACATGAGAGTTGGTTGAAGATGTCCAGTGAGGCTGAAGTAAAGAGGCAGGGAAGGGCCGTTGACTAAAGAGCACTTTATTTCTTTGAAGTTCTTTGTAAGAAGTGGGGGTGTGAGTGGCTTGAATTCCCCCATTGTGTTGGAGGGCAGTTAGTGGGGTTGAAGTATGACATAATATTTTAAAATTGGGGATAGGAGAATTTCTCTTAGAGGGTGGCACAATGCCTTTGCCCAGTGTTTCTATTTTGGGCATCTTTCTTATTCCTTCCAATCAAGGTGCCTCCTGCACACAACTTCCTGTCTGTTCTCCCTAAGATGTCCCCTTTATGTGTTACCACTCCTCTTTTGTAAACTCCTTTTCTACTCAGATTCAGCAAGGGTAGACTAAATCATCCATGTAAATGTCCCTTGTTTACAAATCATCCGTGTCTCAAAGAAAACTACTGTGTTTCCCCGAAAATAAGACATCCTTCGAAAATAAGACCTAGCGCATGGAAAGATAAGACAGCCCCTGAAAATAAGATCTAGCGCAACTTTGGGAGAAAAAAATTAATATAAGACACTGTCTTATTTTCGGGGAAACAGGGTAGTCTCATTAAGAACTGTGGTGGGCTGCCAGAGTAACTGAAGTTCGGGGCTAGGGCTGGAGATTGACCGTCAGGCTTCCTTGGACTTAAGGTCCCCCTTCGCTAAACTCAGCCTTGCTCAGTGGCAGCAGAAAATCCTGACCCTCTTTGGGCCTTAGTTCCCCATTCCCCACCACGAAATGGAAGAATACTACTTTTTCTTGTTGGTTCAGCATTGCTGGGCTGGAAGTATAGTCGTTGTTGTGTTGGGTGATGTGTGCAAAACTGCAGGAGCTCACTGCCTGCAAGATGGAAATAAGGGAGAAAGAGGAGGAGAGGGACAGAAGGAACAATTACTAGGTGTAGATCCACCCATCCCTGCCTTCCTCTCTTTAACCTCTATGTTTCTGGTTTGGTGAGTCCTTCCTACCACTCATAATGCTTTGCATTGGTGCAGGCTGGGAAGGGGGGGTATGGTCTCACAATTGTTGTTGTTGTTTTTTTGCATGCTTTCATAATAAAAACCAAGAAGAATGTTTATGGTTTTATCTTATTGATGCTGGTCTCATATCTTCTATGCCAGGGTGGGAAGGGTATGTGAAGTGTTTGTTTTCAATTGGTCTTTTGCCTCTCCCCACCTCATACCATAGGGTTAGATGACTATCATACCATATGATTAGATGATTATTTTTTTTGGCTGGGGGAGGGGAGGGAAGATTGATGAGAGTCAAGAATGAACAGTATGTCATTAACGTTCTCATTTTCAAATGCTATTAAAAATAGTGAAATATTGTTGAGAGGGACATTCACCCTTTGCAACTTGGTGTATGGACAGGTCACCTTGCTTTAATTCTGGGATATTTTAAAGATTAAATGTACTGCAATTTGGGGAGGAATTGGGTCATAATTATAGATACTCCCCAGAGTTTCTCATTAGCAATGAGGGAATTTCATTATTAGAAATATTTCAGGTTACATTTCCAAGGTAAATAGTAATCTAGGAGTCCAGCCATGCCAACTATTCATTCCTCCTCATATCCTTTACTCTTGAGTAAAGGAGTTTGAGACTTAGGGCAGTGGTCAGCAAACTCATTAGTCAACAGAGCCAAATATCAATAGTACGATGATTGAAATTTCTTTTGAGAGCCAAATTTTTTAAACTTCTTCTAACACCACTTTTTCAAAATAGACTCTCCTAGGCTGTAGTATTTTGTGGAAGAGCCACACTCAAGGGGCCAAAGAGCCGCATGTGGCTTGCGAGCCACAGTTTGCCGATCACGGACCTAGGATCTTAGGAGATGTTGGGATTTCCAGAAGCCTAGCCAACTGCTATTATAGCAAGACTATAGCTATTCCCAGTAAGATTTATTTGCTGCATATCTAGAGATTTGATATATTCTGAGTAACACACAATGAACAGAATCCACAAATCTATTTAGTCTTGCAAGGAATCATGAGAAAGCATTTATTTCCATAAAAAATATAAGCAGATTAAAATAAAAGTTAGCATTGCAAATATACATCATATTAGATATTACCTCACAAGGGAAAGAATTCCTAGTTGTTTGAAATACTTTATAACAAATTTGTAGTTCAGACCCTCACCTCAACTTTTAATTTTCTGTCTTTACATTAAAACATTGTATTCAGCTTAGATGAAACTATGTTTAACAAACCTGAAATTTTAAATGTTTAACACATACAGGTTTATATATAGAAAGATGAGAAGGTAATAGGGAGTTGAACAGTGCTTTTATAAAATGAAAGAAGGATAGATGGAAAGCCATATGCATATATGTAGGGTTGGGATGGAGAAAGAAAGTAGAAGAAAATGTGTGGTCATGAACAAATTAAAGTGTGATGGTTAATGAATATTGGGACTCTGGATAAACAAGAAATATGAATATGTGCTTGGATAAAATTCTTCATTTTGCAAAATCAGAAGTCATTTTTATCATCTACAAAAATGATCAGCATAAGTCCATGACTTAGAAACATCATGGCAAAGATCAGAAGGAACATATAAAATTGTGCAACGGTTATTTCAGAAAAGGGTGATGGGAGGCCAGAGTATGGCAGGAAACTTCTGATATTTCATTATAAACCTCAAATGGCTTTAAACTATGTGTATGTATTACTTGGGTAATATTTAATTTAGAAACCTAAATACACACACACACACACACACACACACATCTGGTGATTATAACATGAAAAATACCTATAGTCATGTTTTAATAAGTTTGATGGAATTCCTGGAGGGTACTCAATCATTTTTCAGTGATTTTAAATTTTTGAAATTAGAGGTTAGTAAAGGTACAAATTCTAAAATGAAAGAAGACTTAGGGGCGGAAGAGAAATAAGGGAATTAGTTATTTAAGACAAAAAGAGGAAGGAAGATGGCTCTACCTATAAGCAGATAGAGGAAACAGAACTCCTCAAAGGGCAGCTTACATTACAGATCATGAGTAAGTTGTTAGATGCCTTAGTAGTCTGTGTTTACACAAGAGATGCTTAATCAGTTACAATAAAGGAAACTTGGAATTGTGTCCTGTATTCATGGGTATTCCAAATAGGAAGTGTCTGGCATTGTGCTTGCTCCAGACTCATAAATCCTTGTTTTCATAGACGATTTCTTCAAAAAAATTTTTTATTTCATTACATGTATTGACACTGGTTAATATGGTCATATAGGTTTCAAGTATACATTTCTATGATACATGATCTGTATATATTGCTTTGTAAGCCCACCAACCAAAGTCAAATAATCTTGTGTCACTATATTTGGCCCCTTTACCCTTTACTACCTCCCCTTCTCTTTATTTAACCCCCCCCCCCAACAGTATAACAATAAAGCCATAGAATAAATGATCATCTTTCACTCAGAGCTAGGGCAATTGGTTTTAAAATGAATATGGAAGGGGATTTCGATATACTAAATAGAAAATTTAAGGATGGAAGGAAACATTTTACAACAGATTAGATTCTCATTTATCTCAGGGGGCTCAGTTTGGGATAGAAACAGATTGATTTGTGCATTGTCTCTCAGACATAGCATTCGTCAGAAACAAGAGAACTTGTTTTCAAGTCAGGTTCGACCAGAGAGTTTCCATGGTATACTGATGTCACTAGTCTGGGACCACACTTGGAAGGCCTCAAGGTTGAGTCTTTGGTGATTTCCGAAATCCCTGTTCACCAAGTCCCTTGCTCTTTTAGAGACATGTCACACACATGATGAATAGCTAAGAAGCTCTGCTTGGGTCAAGTGCTTTGGTCAAATGCTCCATATCCTCACACAGCTGTGCTGGTGTTGGTTTTAGAAAAGCCTTTGCTTTGAGTATAACTGGTAGAATGTGTGTGCCCCTCGCTGAAAGCTGCCTCCAGAATGCCCTGCACAGACTGCCTTGCTTTCTCCCTAAAGTTTTTCCCCATAAGGGCATAGAGGAAGGGATTGAAGCAACTATTGGCAGATGCTAGAGCAATGGCCACGCTGTCCCAGGCTAGCAGAGCTTCCTTCAAGCTCCCTTCAAACTCTGAGTGATAAAACAAAAAGAGGACTCCAAAAATGTGGTATGGGGCCCAGCAGACAATGAAGACAATCACCACCACTACGGCCACCTGGAAGGTTTTGCTCTGAGCCTTGATCGAGCGACCCCACATTTTGAAGATAATGAGACTATAACAGGTCACCATGACAATACAGGGCAGCAGGAAACCCATCACTAGCCTAGTGATGGTTATTATCACCTCCGGTGTTGGAACTTTATTGCTAGGTTCAAAGTGTCCTTCAGTATAAGTATAGTACTGGAAATATTGTGGTGGCACAATTGTGTATAAAGCATTACTAGAGGTATTAGAGAAAAGTTCTAAATCGGTAGAGAAGAAAGCATCAGAGTCATTCTGTGAGTTAATTCTGTGATCTTCAATGGGAAGGCCAATGGGGGTTGTTGGGGAGGCCTCATTATCAGGTTTAATTAAATTATAATATGGATGTTGATTAGATAATCTAGTTGAACCCACAGGGACTGAATCTCCAGGAGATCTTTGAAATGTTTCAGACTGGAGGAGAGTGGTAGTTGTCCAAGGATGATCATTTCTTTGTGAAGAGAAAGCATCTGACTTGTCAACCATTTTTTCAAGCAACTGAACATTGGAATAGTCAAGAGACCCATTTTCCAGTTGATCATAAGTGTAATATGAATAATCTGGTGAGCTATTGCTCCCATAATTGTAGCCACACATAGTTTGGTCGTCTACGGGGAACGTTTCCCGGTACATGAACACAGGTATGCACATTGCAAAAGCCATCACCCAGATAAATCCACAGATGGCGAAGGCTGTCCTCACGTTGCGGTGATTCTGGCACCAGATGGGCTTGAGTACCAGAAGGCAGCGGTCCAAGCTAATGGCAGTCAGTAGGAAGACGCTGGCAAACATGTTGAGGATGATGATGGAAGGAATGAGCTTGCATAGGAGCCAACCATAAGGCCAGTGTCCTTGGAGAGCCAAGTGAACCAGGGAGAAGGGTAAGGAGAGGCAGCAGAGAAAGTCTGCTAGTGTGAGATGGAGAAACCAAACAGTGTTCACGGTCCACTTCATCTTTAGGCCAGCCACCCACAGCACCAGCCCGTTGCCTGGCAATCCCAATAAGAAAGTGAGGCTGAGAATGACCATGGACAGAATTATTGGGGGCTTATACGAAGGCTGGGAGTGTATGTCCGTTGAATTGGTCTCATCAGGGAAATAATCCATTGCTAAATTTCTGCAAAAAAGAGAAACAAACTTATTTAAAGTAACATTATCTTTTTAAAAATGGGTATCTTTCCCATATAATGATATAGAACTGCATGGGCCCTTAACACTGTTTTAGTTTGTATTCCTTGTCTTCACATTGGATTACACAAAACTTTCTCTGATAAACTATTTATTTACTTACTTAAAAATGTATTTTAGAGAGGAAGGAAGAGCGCAAGAAAGATAGAAACATCAATGCTGAGAGAGAATCATTGATTGGCCGCCTCCTGCATGCCCCACACTGGAGATTGAGCCTGCAACCTAGGCATGTGCCCTGACCAGGAATTGAACCGTGACTTCCTGGTTCATAGATGGACACTGAACCACTGAACCATGCTGGTCAGGTTCAGATAGACCATTTAAAATCTGTATCTAAGTGTGTATCAAAAGAACTCATTTGGAAGTTTATATCAATGTAAATTTCTCCCTTTTTTTTGGACTTTTAATCTCTCATTCTCCACTGATTACTTTCCTTACTTAATATTCAAAAACAAATAAACAAGTCTAATGGACAAACAAACAATAATTTTTATACCAGAGGTTCCTAACTTTAAATCCATGAAAAGGCTTTTAGAAGCCCAATTTTTACCTCAAATGATAGGGGAAATTTTAACTGTACATATTTTCATTTCCTCAAGGGCAGAGGTCTATCCATTCCCTACCAGATTTTCAAAGAACTCATCACCACAGAAAAAGGTCATAGACTCAGTTATATCTTTTAAATACAACATCAACTTTTCCTTTTGCTGTTCAATTTTTCAAGAATTGTGTACACTCTTGGCATTGATTTTTCTCACCATCCATTAGTTCTTTCTTGTTTATTTGTTTTGTATTGAATATAATAGAAACAATAGCTTTATATTATCAGAAGCAGAATATATGCATGAAAAATATAGACAAGTAAGAATAAGAAACTAGCCTGGCAGAAGTGGCTCAGTGGTTGAGAGTTGACCAGGAGGTCAAACCAGGAGGTCATGGTTTGATTCCCAATCAGGGCACATGCCTGGGGTGTGGGCTTGGTTGCCAGTATGGGGCTGTGCAGGAGGCAGCCAATCAGTAATTTTCTCTTGTCATTGATGTTTCTATCTCCCTCTCGTCCTCTCTGAAATTAATAAAAACATATAAAAAATAAAAATCCCATATGCTACCAGTCATTGATTACTATTTTATTATTATTTTTTAAAATATATATTTTATTGATTTTTTGCAGAGAGGAAGGGGAGTGATAGAGAATCAGAAACATTGAAGAGAGAGAAACATCAATCAGCTGCTTCCTGCACAACCCTCACTGGGGATGTGCCCACAACCAAGATACATGCCCTTGACTGGATTCGAACCAGCGACCCCTCAGTCTGCAGGTTGACGCTCTATCCACTGAGCCAAACTGGCCAGGGGTTGATTACTATTTTAGCACCTTAATTATACCTCCTGGATCTTTTATATACATACTAGTGGCCTGGTGCACGAAATTCGTGCACTTGGAGGAGGGGTTTGGCCTATGCCCTGTCACAGTGCGGGAAATATTCCATTGCTAAATTTCTGTAACAAAAAAGAAACAAACATATTTAAAGTAACATTATCTTTTAAAAAATGGGTATCTTGGAAATCTAACCTTCCCATATAATGATGTAGAACTGCATGGGCCCTTACACTGTTTTAGTTTGTACTCCTTGACCTCACATTGGATCACACAAAACTTTCTCAGATAGAATATTTATTTATTTAGGTAGGTCCCACCCACCCATCTGGGCTTCTCAATAACAAAAATTTACTATCTTAATCATTTTTAAGCATATAGTTCAGTAGTGTTAAGTATATTCACATTATTGTGCAAAATCAAGAACTTGCTCACATTGTAAAACTAAAACTCTCTACTATTTGACAACTCCCTACTTCCCTCTCCCCTAACCCCTTGTAACCATCATTCTATTTTGTTTCTATGCAATGTTTCTATGGTTACAGGTAGAATCATACAGCATTCATCTTTGTTGTGTCTAGCTTATTTCACTTAGCATAATATCCTTAAGATTCATCCAAGTTATAGCATGTGTCAGAATTTTCTTCATTATTAAAGCTGAATACTATTTCATTGTATGTATTGGTCACATTTTGTTTATTCATTCATTGGTCAATGGACATTTGAGTTGCTTCCACCTTTTTAGCTATTGTGAATAACAGTGCTATGAATGTGGGTGTAAATGCATATTGTTTTATAAACTGCTTTCTTTTTTTCAGTTATCAGTCTCCACAGTATACAGTATGATTGTACCTTAAGGAACACTCAGTCTTGATTCAATTCTTTCAACTGTCCCCAAAATATCTTTTATAGCTGATTTGCCCACAATTATATTCAACTTAGGATCACATTTGCCTCAGAATGTTATGTTTCTTAAGTGTCTTAATTTAGCCTATTTTCTCTTTTTCAAAAATACTGGCTTGTTTTGTGCTCTGTTGTTCTGACCACTCACTTCTCAACTTTTGTGTACTTGGCCTTCTGCTTCTACCATTTCACTAAAATTACCTCTAAATAACAAATCAAAGCATCTTTTTCCCTGTCTCCATCTAGAATATAATACATGTATGTATCATTTGATACATTAACTCCTTGACACTCTCTTCTTTTGGCCTCTGTGACATTATCCTCCCCTAATTCTGAATGTACCATACTTTATAGTTTTCTTGAACAGCTCACTATTCCAAGTTAATGCTATTGTATTTTCTGCACTTTAGCTAATGAAGTTTACTTCTATCTGCAATTATGTCCTTTACCTTAACCTCCTCTTTCTTTCATCTTTAATTTCTACCTGTTAAAATCCTAGTTATTTTTAAAAAAATATATTTTATTGATTTTGTACAGAGAGGGAGAGAGAGCTAGAAACATCGATGAGAGAGAGTCATCGATCAGCTGCCTCCTGCACACCCCCCACCGGGGATATGCCCGCAACCAAGGTACATGCCCTTGACCGGAATCGAACTCGGGACCCTTCAGTCCCCAAGCCGACGCTCTATCCACTGAGCCAAACCGGTTTCGGCAAAATCCTAGTTATTCTTCAAGATCAGTTCACATATTATATTTTCCTTGAAACTTCCTCTAATAATCCCAATCAGAAATTAATTCTTCAGCCTCTTAATGTGTGTGTGTGTGTGTGTGTGTGTGTGTGTGTGTGAGAGAGAGAGAGAGAGAGAGAGAGAGAGAGAGAGTTGAATCTCTTTTCATAGTCTCTGTGCAATGACACATTTTATCTGGTGTTTTAATTCTTATAGTGGCTGTCCTATTTATCATAATGCCCTTACCTTTCATGACGGTAACAATGAGTCTTGTTCCTGAAAGCTTGCCCCACAGAATTTAGCACAGTGCCTTATATGACTTAAAAATTAAATATTATTTTATCCATTTACTCCAGTAAGAATACTGTCTCTTCTAACTTCCTCCTTGTTTTCCAGTTCCCAGTCTTAGTAGCTGTAACAGCATTTTATGTTTCCCTTTATAAAGGCCCAATATATTTTTGTCACTTGGAAGTAGTTCTGCTGAGTTAACCCAATGTTGACATAGGATCTTAAGTAATTAGCAGAAGTTAAAGTAACTGAGTCAACAAGATAATACTTAAACGAAAGTTATCTTCATTCCCTTTCCCTTAGCCTTGTCTATTCAAATATTCAAGTCCTGTTAGGGTCTCTTCCTTTCTTTTTGTGCATGACAATGACCCTGATCCCATGTCCTACTCCAACACACGCATTCATGCATAGATTCATAAAACACAGAGAACAGGATAGAGTCAGAGAATGCTAGAACTGAAAATAAACTCAGCAATCATCTCTCATTGTCTCTATTTTTATTTTGCAGTTTTGTTTTTTTTTTGACACAGATACTCAACAAATTAGTTGACTTTTACATATGCAAATAGGAGGTCCCAAATCCTAGGTCCAATAGCTGTCAGGCTGATTCTCTCCCTCCCTCCCTCCATCCCTCCCTCCCTCTTTTGACATTTAGTGTGAGGCCTGTAGGGCAACACAATCCTTAAGGGCCATTTGTGAGTCCCGCCTCAGGAGAACAAAATACCAGGAAAAACTTGCAGGGCACCAGGAGTCAGATCAGACCACACAAGGAATTGGAAACTGTCCTAAAGGCACTTGATCACACTTGAGCATTCCAAGCCGCCAGCTCAGCCCCTAGACCCACCAGTGACTGCTTATAGGATGAAACGCCAGCTCCTGGGTGCTGCTCTCATTGACCTAAGGTCCCCGTGGCTGGGTGCTGTGCAGCCCTTCCCTTGGGGTCTCCTGTCCCCCATCCCCTCCCCTTAAATAAATTCATTTTTCTTTAATTACCTTCTGAGATGGCTATTTAGCCTGCCTGCATCCACCATCCACCATGTTCATCTTTCATTTTGGCGGCTTGTAAGGGGATATCCAGAAGGGGAGCTTTCTTGCTTCCCTTCCCCTCACTCCTTCCCTACCCTTAACGACTTTTAGTCTTACAGTGACCAAGGCCTTCGGACTCCCAAGCAGCAGCAGGAGTGCCAGATCATCAGACCTTCTGATTTCTACTAATGGGTGAGTTACTTCATTTTTGGGAAGAGGGCACTAGGGACCAAGACTCTCGGCTCCCCTTGGGGCCGCGACTTTCGGTCTTTTAAAAGCCTCTAGTGTGTCCAGAACTGAAATATCATTGCTGACATGTACACATAAGGAACTATTTGACATTGAAATTTGGGCTCAAAAGAACTGGTGGCCCAGAAAGAAACTCAGTACAGACTGATTCATATACTTTTTAGCATAACGATTATTTCTTGTCTCATTTTTGATTCTTATAAGTATATTTCCAATAGGACATGATCTCACTCATCTAGGGGAAATGGTGAACAACATAGACTGATGAACAAAAACAGACCCAGAGATAAGGAGCCATGGGTCAGACTGTTGGACCTTAAATAGAGGATAGAGATAAAAGGGAGAGATCAACCAAAG